GATCGAACCCGGGCCGCACGCATGCCAGGCAAGCGCGCTACCGCTTGAGCCACATCCCCAGCCCCCTACATTAAATTTTTATGAACCCTGTCAATGTTGCATTTCTCTTAAGAAGTACCTGGTAGGAAGAAAATTACTAAAAGAGTGGTGGCCAGAGTTCTTTGTTTTGTTATGAAGGGATGGGCTGGCAGTTTTTAAAAATAGAGTAGCATCATGAATATGACCTGCAATCAGATTTTTTTCTATACATTTTGCACAATTTGAAATACTAAAAATCTGTATTTTTTCGTAGTCTCTGGAAAGTACAAGAAGAATCCTGGGTTTAGCCATTGAGGTAAGAAGTGTTTAATCATTAAGCATAGAAATTTATAGGAGGGATCCTAGCAGCACTAGCTGGAATTGGTGTTGAAGGGTATCATGTCAATACACTTTATTATTTTAAACCAGCAATTGCTAAAATTGTCAAACCATGCACAAACGGGCCTTTTCAGTTTTCCCTTTTGATAGTATTGAAATATGACAGGGAAGATGCATTCACCATGAGTTTGTGACCTAATTATTTTGGGGGTTAATATGTTAAAGTGTGTTGGTTTAAGATCACTATTTCTATCTGTAGCTCTAATCCTCTGAGAACGTGGGTTTCTAAATGATTCTTTCTTGCTCTTTGTCAACTCTTATAGGTTTTGTTTCTGTTATTTTGAGTTTGTTTTGTTTTACTATCAGCTTCCCCCCTTCTTTTAGTCTCAGGATGCAGGAATCAAGACCATCACTATGCTGGATGAGCAAGGGGGTGAGTTGAAGTCATTAGCAGAAACTCTTTATTTTCACTTACTGTGCTAAAAAAACCCTGTCAAATTACCTACTTATAAATTTCAGCTTTTGGAAATGCCTTCTTTTTGTAAAATAAGAGTGATATTTTTCTTAATTGTTTTATAATTTGAATTATATCATGTTCGTAGCTGGTTTGGAATGAGAGACAGCAGTGCCTAACTGTATACCAAGTATGTGTTAGGCCAGTGTGGCTTATTGTGTGCATTGGTTATATATACCTTAGATATTATGATACTCTTGCATCATCTTCAGAAATCAAGTCCTATAACAGGCCTAAATTCTGATGAGCTTAGAAATATTTAATTTGAGCTGGCCTTAGGTAATCTGGTCTAATTTTTATTAGTCTTATAACAGCCCTCAGATTTTGAGCCTATTAAGTGAAGGGAATCTGGTCTGGGCAAAGAAAAGTTGGTTTTAAGAGTTTTTCTTTGAACAGTTTTCTTTAGTACAATTTTTTCCACATTGAGATGCCAAGTACCTTAGGATCAAGATGTAAAAGATTATTTTCATGTTAATAATTTCTAATACTAATATGACTTCTGACTCTAATATGTTCACTGTGGTGAGTTATTGGTAGATTTGAGGTTGAATTTGCTGCTCTATAATTCTGATTAACACTGAATGCAACACAAAACTTAATCTTCACAACTCATTCTTAGAACAACTAAACCGAATAGAAGAAGGCATGGACCAAATAAATAAAGACATGAGAGAAGCAGAGAAGACTTTAACAGAGCTCAACAAGTGCTGTGGCCTTTGTGTCTGCCCATGTAATAGGTGAGTTGATAAATCAAGACCTTTTGAAAATGTATAAATGACAGTGTACCTGCCCTCCACTCCTCAGATTAAGTCAGAAGTATGACAGGGTCTGTGTTGGTCAGCTTTGTGTCACTGTGACCAAAATATCTGACCAGAACAATTTGGAGGAGGAAAAGTTACATTTGGCTCATGGTTTCAGAGGTTTAGTCCATATCATGCTGCTTCTATTGCTCTGGGCCCAAGGTGAGGCAGAATATCATGTTGGAATATGACAGGGAAGATGAATTCACCATGAGTTTGTGACCTAATTATTTTGGGGGTTAATATGTTAAGTGTGTTGGTTTAAGATCGCTAGTTCTGTCTGTAGGTCTAATCCTCTTTAAGAATGTGGGTTTCTAAATGATTCTTTCTCGATCTTTGTCAACTCTTGCAGGAATACTACTCACCTCATGGTGGCTGGGAAGCAGAGAGTGGGGAAGGACATCAGGGAAGATGAACCCTTTCAGGGCTAGCCCCCAGTGACCTATCTTTTCCAGTCATATCCCACCTACCTACAGTTACCATCTAGTTAGTCCATTCAAACTGGGATGGACTAATTAGGTCATAGCCCTCATAATCCAGTCATTTTTACCTTTGAACTTCCTGTATTTACACAGGAGCTTTTGTGAAACACTTAATATTCAAACTGTAATAGGGCCTAAATGAGGAACTTTGTTATAGACAAACTTAAGATATTTCTCTTTCAATCAGATCAAACTTTTCATGTAAATAGGCATGTTCTTGGAAACTGTGGCTTAATTTGACTTATTCTGATGTCCAGTTTCAATTTCTATATGAAAAGATTGGAGAAATATGTATACCCAGATGACAAGAACAGGGTGAAATTATTGCCTTTTCCTTTCAAACAAGAAGGGTTAACAAAATACAAATTCTATAGTAGGCACATGAGAAATGGCTAAGGGAGTAAAGGATTTGGACCCTGTTTTCAAAAGACTTATCATGTGGCTGAATATATGAGAAAGCATAGCAGAAAATATATAAATCTTGTGTTAGATCATATGGTATCTACTAAGGCTAGGAATATAGAACTAATAAAGGTTAGGTTAGGGAACATCTTATAGAAGAGATAGGACATGAGTTGGGTTTTGAGTGATTAGAAGGATTTGGATGAACATAGAGGAAGTGGGTGCTGGGAATATAGCTCAGTGGGAGTTCCAAGGTTCAATTCCCAGCACCAAACCAAACAAAACATGAAGTGAGAAGGAGGGCATTTCCTGTGGAAAGTACAAAGTAAACAACAGTAAGGAAGAGATGGGAAGTAGAAATAAGATTTAAGTAGATAGCAGATGAACTTATATACCAAACTAAGAACTTGGTAGATTGCAAACTAAGAACTTGGTAGATTGACATTTATGAATACACACTAGGAGACTAGTTAAAAACCTTTTATTAGTGAGGCCTGTAAAGTAAGACTTTAACCATAAAATTAGAGAAAAAATTGTAAATCAAAGATTCACAATTTATTTTAAATTCACATTTATTTTAAATTGACTATTGCTTATGAAGAGGGAAGAATCAAAAAAGACACTAAAGATTTGGAGTCTCTAGTAAACCAGGAGATGGAAAGTCTTCAACCCATTTATGTACAATGTATGAGATTATGCTTGATACAAGGAATTCATTCTTTTTGGTTACTACTGTGAATGTTACATTCTCTACTTAGCCCTGGGTAAACCAAACTTCATGTTGTTGATGAATATTGTATGTATTCAGACTAAGAAGAAGTTTGGACTTCTGTTAGAAGGAGCTCATCTTTGTTCTTAAAAAGCAATTAACAAGGGCTGCGGGTAGTGGCTCAGCCATAGAGCCTTTGTCTACCATGTGCGAGGCCCTGGGTTCTATCCTCAGTACCACATATAAATAAATAAATAAAGGTATTATGTCCAACAACAACTTAAAAAAATAAATAAATGGTTTTTTAAAAAATTTTTTTAGTTGTAGATAAACACAGTGTCTTTATTTTTATGTGGTGCTGAGGATCAAACCCAGTGCCTCACACATTCGAGGCAAGCCCTTTACCACTGAGCTACAGCCCCAGCCCCAAATAATTGTTTTTTTTAAAAAAGCAATTAACAAAAACAATTTTGAACTATCCTCTAGTTGAAATAGCAGTGCCTGCAGGTTGAATGATTAGTTGCTGCAAATATTTATTTTTAAGGAGTTTCATAAACATTAGTAGTTCCATCTTGTTGTCTCAATTGGTATGATAAACCAAGAATGGCATACAAAGGTTTACAAATACTTCAGTGTTTTTACTCCTCAAGAGTTGGAAATGGAGGACCTTATGTTAATCTTTCATAATTGCTTGCTGGACTGTTTTAGTTTTTGTTTTGGTCATGAGAATTTAAGATTTCAATGTTCTTCCTAGCCTTGTCCATTGGCTTCCTATTTTAACACAAGTCTGTTGACCCGTTTCAACCTTGGTTGACTCTCTGAAAGTCCATATTTTAGTAACTATGATTTATCATTCAGGGTTTAGCTGATTACTTTAAGCAAACAAATTATAAGTGCACAGATTATGGGAGTCAAACTCTGAACTATGTTTTGCATATTCCTGTCTTTCTCCTGTGTTCCTTATACCCTCTTGGAAGAGTGAGGAGGGAGTAAGATTAATTTCCTTCAGATTAGATGTTAGAAGAACAGAGAGGAAGAAGTCCTCTCTAGAGTCTAGAGCAAGATCAGCTTTAAGTCATGGGTTGATAATAGAAAGGGCACTGAATCCTAAAATGGCCAAAGTTCATAGAAAGTGGGAAATGGAGTTATATAAGTATTCATTTTATTTCTCTTTTATATCACAGCCAAGCATAGGCAAGCTTTTCTTGAACATAGGTGTGTACGGTTCTCTAGCAATCTTCAGCCTCTAACCTCAGCAGAACCCTTTATGAGTGGATTCAGAGAAGAAGGCACTTCTTTTTTTTGGGGGGGAGGGTGGGTACTGGTGATTGAACTCTGGGCCTCTTGACCAATGAGCCACATCCTCAGCCCTAATTTGTATTTTATTTAGAGACAGTGTCTCACTGAATTGCTTAGTGCCTGCCTCGCCTTTGCTGAGATGATCCTCCTGCCTCAGCTGTTGGCCACGTACCCTGGCAAGAAGGCACTTCTTAACAGCTGGAGTCAAGTGGCTTCTATAACAGAATAGGAGAGGAGAGATTAATATCCCAGTTTAAAGATGTCTGATTCTTTTTTTATATTTTTTAGTTGTAGATGGACACAATACCTTTATTTAATTTATTCTTTATATGTGGTACTGAGGATCAAACCCAAGGCCCCACACATACTAGGTGAGCGCTCTACCGCCGAGCCACAACCCCAGCCACAAGATGTCTGATTTTAATAGCCTTTCTTGGCTGGGCATGTTGGTGCTTTTCCTGTAATCTCTTTTATTTGGGAGGCTAAAGCAAGAGGATCACAAGTTCAAGTCCAACCTGGGCAATTTAGCAAGACCCTGTCTGAAAATAAATAAATTAAAAGGGCTGAGGATATAGTTCAGTAGTGGAGTGCCCTGTGTTCAATCCCCAGAACCATGAAAAAAAAACATATATATTTATTTTTTTTTTGGCCTTTTTCCCATCTATTTCCTTTGTATACACTGAGATTTTGGTTGCTTTGACATTTCTTGTTCTCAATTCTGTCTCCCATCATTCCTGCCATGTCTTCTTGATTCTTTTAATCGTATCTGATAGTCTGTTTCACTTGGGCTCAGTGTATAAACAGGCATAACATGAGCTTCTCAAAGGCAGACACAGGACCTTAATCCTTTTTTGTATAAGGCTAGTATTCTGGTAGTACTAACAACTGGTAGTAGTAATAACTCAGGTCCACATGTCTCTGTCTTTTTCTCTGTCTCATTTTGGATTGATACATAATAATTGTTAAGGTCTACAATCCTACCTGCTATTCAGAAATCTAAACTCTGAAAGCCAAGGGTTTTGTTTTTGTTTTTCTTTTCCATAATGTTGCCACAACTCATTAGGCTACAGAATACAAACTGAAACCAGACATGGTGGCACACACCTATAATCTCAGTAATTTGGAAGGCCAAGGCAGGAAGATCACAAGTTTGAGACTGGGCAACTTAGTGAGACCCTCTCTTAAAATAAAAAGGATTGGGTATGTAGCTCAGTATGTCCCTGGGTCATGAACTCTTAGTACTGCAAAATAAATAAATATAGTTAAAAAAAGAAGTAGTGCACACTTAGAATTCCATCTACTTGGGAGGCTGAGACAGAAGGATCATAAGTTTGAGGTTAGCCTCAATAACTTGGTGAGACCCTGTCTTAAAATAAAAAATATAGCTCAGTGGTGAAGCATCCCTGGTTCAATCCTCAGCACTCCACCCAAAAAAACAAGGGTGTGGGAAGGCTGAGAATATATATTGCTCAACGGCAGGTTACCTGAGAATTCATTCCCAGTTCTGCAAAAAAAAAAAAAAAAAAAAAAAAAAAAAGAACTGAAGCTTTAGAAAGTTTTTATCGCTCTTTTCTCATTCTTTATAGTGAGTAAACGTTTCTCCCAGGTGATATTGCCAACAGTCATAGATGCGTACAATACAATTATGTACTGACTTTCAATTTATAGTAGTATTTTTTCCTCTGGGGAAAAAAAAAAAGTAAATACAGTAAGCCAGAATGTGAAAGAAAATTTGAAAGACTTCTCACATTGGTAAAACAAGCCCATGATTTAGGACTTGTTGAATTATCCTGTCTATTATACTTTGCTGGCCAATGTATTAGGAAAATCCTTGGTGAGATTCTGTAGATTTTGGAGAAGGTACAGAGCTCAACAGTATGTTCTTTAACTCACTAAGGCTGATCTGCTGCTTAGACTGATGTGTGGAAGTTATCAAAAAGTAGAGCCAATGCTGTTTTTAAATATGACATTGCTTCTCATGAAGTACAGACAGCTAAAGGTGGCTATTTGATGATGCTGGATGGCTTCCATCCTCAAGGAATAATGGTTAGCTCTCACATGGATAGATAAATATTCTGTAATGGGTTTGACTCCTCTATTTGGAACACTGCATTTACTTACCTAAATTCTTGTATGTCAAAGAAAGGGTACTAAATAAGCTTCATCCACAAAGTTACTATATACCATATAATCCAGTCAACTTGATGATATAATACAGTGACCTTTATAGACTCACTTACATTGGTAGCTTAGTACATATATCTTTTTAAAGATTTGATTTTTATTCTACACAATGGGACAAATACATACAGAGAAGTGTGTCTGTTTTAGTCTTCCCATAGTTAGAATATATGTATCTCTGTCTTTTAATTGTTAGAATGTATGGATATTGGAACCAAAGTTGGAAGTGGAATTATCTTTGAAAATTCTTTACTATGAAAACAACTACAACAAATAAATCAAGTTTCTAATAAACATTGCAAGCTTTTACAGTTAAAAATATGTAAATACAGAAGTTAAGTAAACAATGATATACTGTCATTGAACTCTATGCTACATTGCTTGACTTTGAGAAGAAAAGAATGAACCTTTTTGTTATTGATGTTTGCTGGTGTATTGCTGAATAGAAACTGTCTTGAGTAGATTTGTTCTTTCAGATGTTTTTGTTCGAAAGGATAATTGAAGCTAGGTCAGCAAATCTTTTATATAAGATATGGAAAAATAGCTTTACTTAGAAGAACTTGGAATTAGAAGCAAAATTTTTTGTTGTCATTGTTTTGTTTTTTTCCAGTGCTGGGGATTGAACTCAGGGCCTCATGTAGGCTTGACAGGTGCTTTAACACTGAGCTACATCCCCATCCATAGGAGGAAATTGTAACTACAGATGATTTTTTCTAAGGAACTATTAGAATTTAATAAGAGACTATGAAGATTAGACTTAAAAATTTCAGATAAATGACATTAATGAACATTTGAATTCTAAAAACAAAGTTGTGTATAGTCTTTTTAAAAACTCATATTTTAATTTTTGTTCTTTTTCTATATCTATTCTTTCTTTTTTTGTTTTTTGTTTTCTCTCCTAATCCTGTATTCATTCCCTAATACCTATATTTACATTCCCCTCCACCCCTCATACTAGGGATTGAACCTTGGAAGCACTCTACCACTGAAATACATCCTCAGCCCTTATTTTTTTTTATTTTGAGACAGGGTCTTGCTAAGGGTTTGATGCTGGCCTCAAACTTGGATCCTCCTGCCTTAGCCTCCCAAATAATCCTATATTTTTTATACTAACTGATAAATTATAATTTTAATTAACAAGAGTTTAAAAAGAGGCACACCTGGGAAGTCACAGAGTAGTAAGCTGTTTGAATTCTCAGTTTAATGATTCTTAGGCAAGGTATTTTTCGTTCTTGCCTATTTTACAAGGTACTTAAAAAGTCTAACATAATGGCACCTACTTTGAAGACAAATTGGTATTTCTGAACGAATTGCTAGAGAAGTTCAAAATTGGCACAACAGGTTTTCTGTTCTAATCTTAAGTCATATTGAGGTTAAAAATTCAGCTTGGAGTGATTAAAATAATTAAAGAATTAAATTTCATTCAACAACTGAGTGATTCCTCTGTCCTACTCACTGGAGATAACAAATATCAATAAGACATACCTATGGTCCTGCCTGTTATATATATCATTACTATTTTTTTTAATGCTATGCCTTACATGATATCTGTAGATACTCAGTAAAAACTTATGTATTGAATGGCCTTGAGAAACTTGTTGGCTGATGGGAGAGTTTGACATAAAAAGATTTTTTTTTAAATTACATTGCAAATAAAATATATAATAGAAATAATTAAAATACATTTATATCTCTAAAGAAAGAGTGAGGAAGTTTCACAATATCACCCTTTAATGTTTGCTTTCTCTCATAATAATTTTTATAATTTTAGGAAAAAATATCACCATCCTAATAACATTCTGAGGAAAAATGAAATGTGCTATGTTTTAAATAGTTTTCTTGCTTTTCTTTTTATCTAGATTCTCAGATGTTGGTTGTTTCTATGAAACCAGGCAGGAATTTGAATGCATTATGTTTTTAAATCTCTAAACCTGTTTCTGTTCTGTTTGACTGGCAATTACTATTTTCTGCATTTCATTCTCTCACCTAATCTTTTCCTTTCTAATCTGCTTACTAAAAATGAAGATTTAACATCAGAAGCCGGGCTCAGTAACTGATCAAAGGGAACTTTAAGATGCAGTCTTATGGCGCAGTTTGGGCTGCTAACCTGCTACTTAAAGGTGATGCTTCAAATGGCTTTTCTGTGCATGTGCATGGTTTTGTGAATGATGGAAACTGTCTTAAAAACCGTGCTGTGGTGTGTAATGTAAAGTGAATTTGTTCTTGATGGGTGCAATCTGACAAAAGATGGACTTGACAAAAAGATCTTAATTTATGATAACTCCCTTTGATTAATGGCTCCAAAAATTAAGTTTTTGCTAACTAACTGTAATATATCCAAAATAAAAATACTCCTGAAATTTTCTAAGTTTGAAATAGATTGATCTTTGTAGAGAGCTGTGGTAGTCTAGTTCTTAATCAAAGGTAAGGGAATTGAGATTAAATGCATCGCTTATTTGATAAGACTTTGATTTCAGGATTCTGTCTCACTAAATTTCCTTACTCCTTTCTATTCCTGAATCAGGATTTCCTGATTCAAGTTTTGTTTCTAATAATTTGAATTCCCCCTGATTTAGGCCACTACCAAATCAAGGAATTAGTTAATTCTTGGATGGAATTCTCAGAAATTAATCACTAATATAGTCATCTTAAATCTTATTTGGAATAAGATGGAATATAAATTTTAAATGTTCCATGTGTACCTTTCTTTAACATGTTATTATTTGTCCCATAATTCCTATTATGTCTTATATTCGCTTACAATCATTTTATATTGAATTAATACAGAGCTTAATTTTTCATGGGTGTTAATCCTTTAGTCAGTTTACCAAATGTTTTATTTACATTTTAATGTCTTGAATCCTCCTTAATTCTGGATGTTTATAAAAATTATGAAGACAGTGATTAAATGCTTAAAAAAAAAAGCATCTGATTCCTATCCTTTGTTTGCCCTTTTCTTTTTTCCTGTCTGATCATCCAAAACACTCATACTTACTCACTCATATTACATTTGGTAATATTTGATCCTTTTCTCTTCAATATGAAAAAAATAGGTAATATATTTGGCCTTTTTTTTCCTATTTTTGTTCAGCTCATGCAAATGTTGATGGAAACCAGAACTAGAAAAAGAAGTTGTTAATGTTTTTGTGCTCATATCTTGATAATTACTGTATTTTCTTCTTTTATACAAGCTTTCTGAATTAAGGGATATTTCAAATTCTTTTTTTCAAAGTTGCTATTCTAAAATGAGACATTTAAATGGAAGAAAATGTGATAGTTAAAGAACTGACAATCAAGTATAAATCTAATGTAAATTAATATATTCATATTAATCTAAGAAAACAGAGTTTTGTTTATTTTGTTTTTATACCAGGGATTGAGCCCAAGGGAGCTTTACCACAGAGCCACATCCCCAGCCTTTTTAAAATATTTTATTTAGAAACAGGGTCTTGATGAATGTGCTTAGGGCCTCGCTAAATTGCTGAGGCTGGCTTTGAACTTTCAATCCTCCTGCCTCAGCTTTCTGAGGTACTGTGATTACAGGTATGTGCCAAGGCACCTGGCTCCAAACAGAGTTCTCAATCTCATTAAAATTTATTACATAGCTGGGCACAGTGGCACAGACCTGTAATCCAATCAATTTGGGAAGCCGAGGCAGAAAGATCACAAGTTTGAGACTAGCCTGGGTAATTTAGCAAAGTACTCTTTCAAAATTAAAAATAAGGGGGTTGGGGCTGTAGCTCATTGTACAGCACTTGCCTTGCATGTATGAGGCACTGGGTTTGATTTTCAGCACCACTTAAAAATAAATATATGAATATATTTTTTAAAAAATTAAAAATACAAACAGCTGGGGATGAGGCCCAGTAGTAGAGTACCCATGGATTCAGTCCCCAGTACCACATGCACAAAGAGTTAATCACAGAGTTGCTTAAACATTTTATCATCCTGAAGGCTAATTTCTTCACAGAAGGGGGCTGCATATTTTAGTTTGCAAAAGATAAAGTCAGGTGCATGCCTGTAATCCCAGCAGTTCGGGAGGCTGAGACAGGAGGATCGTGGGTTCAAAGCCAGACTCAGCAAAAGCAAGGCGCTAAGCAAACTCAGTGAGACACTGTCTCTAAATAAAATACAAAATAGGGTTGAGGATGTGGCTCAGTGGTTGACTGCCCCTGAGTTCAATCCCTAGTACCCCCAAAAAGAAGAAGAAGAAGAAGAAGAAGAAAAGGTAAACTCCTAAATAAAAAAGCCCTCAACAGAGAATTTGTAACTGGCACCAGTGTGGCAAGGTGGTTATTTATCAATTGATTGTTCAATTTGGAAATAACTTGTGTTTTTCCTTTATGCATTTTGCTTATTTATTATTTTTATTTTTTAAATATTTTTCTTTTAGTTGTAGATGGACACAATAACTTTATTTTATTTATTTATTTTTATGTGGTGCCTCATACATGTTAGGCGAGCACTCTACCACTGAGCCACACACAACCCCAGCCCCTTGTTTGTTTTTTAAAAAAATTCTTTTTGAAATTTTCATGCAAAACTAACACAAAACTGATCTGCCGAAACTACTTCAGTTCTAATAAGACAGAGCAAAGAACAGGGTCAAATTATTACCTACTCGGTCTTCTTACTCTATCATCCCTTTTCAACCTCAGAGATGTCTTATTTTCTTTTCCCTAGCATCCATTAACCTCTTTTCTGGAAAATGCTACAGGCTGAGGAGCCTGAAAAAATCAAATAATTGCATTTTGCTATTTGCTAACAGCTTAGTGCAGATTTAATAGTAGTAGCATTTGGGCTGTTTAAAAATGATTTAATGGTAGTGGGTTTACATCACTAATCTTTATCATATCTTCCATTACCATGGAGCTTAGTATAGATAATCTAGATTTAGCTGTTTGCAGCTTTTCTGCTAAAGGTATTAGTGTCATCCTTAAATTAACTAGCACTAATAATCACAACTCTACTTCTCCTGCTTTTGGTATGTTTCTGTACTCCTAATTCTTATATAGGACGAAGAATTTTGAGTCTGGAAAGGCGTATAAGGCAACATGGGGAGATGGCGGAGACAATTCACCTAGCAATGTAGTATCTAAGCAACCGGGCCGAGTAACAAATGGTCAACCTCAGCAACCAACTACAGGAGCAGCCAGTGGTGGATACATTAAACGGTATGCCAGCTTCTCCCAATATTTCTTCATCTTTCCTAATGAATGGCTCACTTAAGAGGTTGGGTGTAGTTGTACATGAAGCCTAATGCTCCAAACAGAAATAAAATTTATTCTGCTTTAAAAATGCATTTAACCTGGGCATGGTGGCGCACACCTGTAATCCCAGTGGCTGGGGAGGCTGAGGCAGGAAAATCACAAGTTCAAAGCCAGCTTCAGCAAAAGCGAGGTGCTAAGCAACTCAGTGAGACCCTGTCTCTAAATACAAAATAGGGCTGGGGATGTGGCTCATTGGTCAAGTGCCCCTGAGTTCAATCCCTAATACCCAGAAGAAAAAAAAAATGCATTAAAAAATCTGTCTTCTGGGGGAATAGGGAAGGATGAAGGAACTTTGGATTGTTTAGAGGGGAATGAGGGGAGGGGTGGCGCTCTGGGGATGGGAAGGACAGTAGAACAAAACAGACATTATTACCTTATGTACATACATACACTATTGGTGTGACTCTGCACCAGGTACAGCCGCCAGAGGAATGAGAAATTGTGCTCTGTTTGTGTATAATATGTCAAAATGCATTCTACTGTTGTATATAACTAATTAGAGCAAATAAAAAGAAAGAAAAAAAAATCTGTCTTCTAACAAATGTTGACCATGGTTGTTGTTCATGGATAATGAGATTGATTTCTCTATATTTTTTAAGACTTTCCAAATTACTGAAGTAGGCATATTTACTTCTACAAATAGGATATATATGTCACAAAATGTAACATCTAAAGCAGGGGTTGGCTTAATTCCTATAAAGATATCTGTAAAGGGCTGGATAGTAAATATTTCAGACTTCAGTCTATATAGTCTCTGTTACAATTACTCAGCTGTGTTAGAGAAAGTAGCCAGAGAAAATTTGTCAATAAATCAGCATAGCTGTGTTTAAAGAAAACTTTACTTACAAAAATAAGGTACCAGGACATGTTTGGCTCTTCACCTACAATTTCCAACCAGTTTTAGAACAATGGTTCTTAATAGGTGTACATTAGAATCACCGGAGAGTTTGTTAAAACAGATTGATGCAGATATGGTAAATGCATGTCTGTAGTCCCAACTACTCAGGAGGCTAAGGCAAGAGGATCACTTGAGCCTAGCAGCTCAAGGCCAAGCTTGGGGAACATAGCAAAATCCTGTCTAGTGGGAGAAAAACAAAACAAAAGTACAGATTGCTGGGATCCAAATATAGTTTCTTATTCAGTACTTCTGCAAGGGTGTGAGAGTTAATATATTCTTGTGTTTAACAGGAATCCAGGTAATACTGGGAATCACACTTTGGTTCTAATACTTGCTGAGCATAATATTGATTACTCATCATTTTTTATTATTTTTTAATGACTCATTTTTATGAAAATTAAATCCAGATTTAGTTTATTGTAACTCAACAAAAAATACTAAAATTAACTCTCCTTTTGTGACAGTATAACTAATGATGCCAGAGAGGATGAGATGGAAGAGAACCTGACTCAAGTGGGCAGTATCCTAGGAAATCTAAAGAACATGGCCCTGGACATGGGCAATGAAATTGAAGCTCAGAATCGACAAATAGACCGAATCACAGAAAAGGTAAAAGCCTTTTATGGCCATAATAAAATGAAACATCCAATCTGGTAATTGTTTAGTAATGGACATCTATGTTAGACACTTTGGGGGGAAACAATAGAATAAGATCCTGTCCTTATAGGATTTTACAGTTTTGATGAGGTGGCAGTTCTAACACATTAAAAACAAAGGTAGAATCCTCCTATGTTGCTCATAACATTTGGTTTATTTTGTAACCACAGCCTTGGGATAAAGTTGTTTTACTTAAACCTTAACACATAAAGCTTAGAATCTATTCTAACCTTTGAGTATGCTTCCCTTCCCCCATAAATATTGCTTTTATTTTATTAACTAGTAGCATATAGTCATGTGAGCAAATGAAAATTGTGATTCTTTTTTTTTTTCTTTGCATTACATGCTATATAAAAGATACTGAAAGGAAAATGTTTTTCAGAATTTGGAAGTCAAATCTAAAAGCCACAGTTGATGAAAATCCCAGTGTACTTTAGAAGATGGTCACTTTTAAAGCTTGGCTCTCTGTTGAATCACTTATACTGGATTTCTTTTTCTTTTTTGGTGCTGAGGATCAAACCTAGGTAGGGCCTTGCACCATAGTAGGCAACTGCTGTAACACTGAGCCACATCCCCAGCCCAGTGGATTTCTTTTGAAGCAAATAATGGTTCATAAGATGCCTTTAAGGCTATTGTTTGGTTTTAGGCTATGTATTACCCATGATTTTAATTTAGATATCAGTGTAGGTGGTAATACATCTGTTCCAAAGATCTTTTTCACTCTCTGTGGTTTAGACCTAGAGTAACTCCATTGGAATTCTGTGGTTCAGAGAGCATTGTTATCATATTTCATTTCATTAGAAATGCTATCAATTTTTTTACCACTTAGAATAATGCTGGCCTTGGGTTTAGCATATATAGCTTTTACAATGTTGAGGTATGTTCCTACTATCCCTAGTTTTTCTAGTGTTTTGAACATGAAGGTGTGCTGTATTTTGTCAAATGCTTTTTCTGCATCTATTGAGATGTATGATTCTTGTTTTTAAGTCTATTAATATGATGAATTATGTTTATTGATTTCATATGTTGAACCAACCCCGCATCCCTGGGATTAATCCCACTTGATTGTGGCACACTATGTTTTTGTATGCCATTGCCAGATTTTTTTTTTTTTTAAGAAACTACCTTTTTTTAAATACTTTTATTTATTTATTTTTATGTGGCGCTGAGGATCGAACTCAGCGCCTTGCACATGCTAGGCGAGCGCTCTACCGCTGAGCCACAACCCCAGCCCCCAATTTGCCAGAATTTTGTTGAGAATTTTTGCATCTATGTTCATCAGGAATATTGGTCTGAAGTTTTCTTTCCTTGATATATCTTTGTCTGGTTTTGGTATCAGGGTGATATTAGACTTATAGAATGAGTTTGGAAGAGTTCCCTCCTTTTGTATTTCATGGAATACTTTGAGGAGTGTTGGAATCAATTCTTCTTTGAGGGGCTGGGGATGTGGCTCAAGCGGTAGCGCGTTCGCCTGGCATGCGTGCGGCCCGGGTTCGATCCTCAGTACCACATACAAAGATGTTGTGTCCGCCAAAAACTGAAAAATAAATATTTAAAAAAATTAAAAAAAAAAATTCTTCTTTGAAAAGTCTTGTAGAACCTGGCTGAGAATCCATCTGGTCCTGGGCTTTTCTTGGTTGTAGGCTTTTGATGGCATTTTCTATTTCATTACTTGAAATTGATCTGTTTAAATCATGTATGACCTCTTCATTCAGTTTGGGTAGGTCATATGTCTCTAGAAATTTGTCGATGTCTTCCATATTTTCTATTTTATTAATAGTGTAAATTTTCAAAATAGTTTCTAATTATCTTTTGTATTTCAGATGTGTCTGTTGTGATATTTCCTTCTTCATCTTATATTTTAGTAATTTGAGTTTTCTCTCTTTTTCTTTTCATTAGTATGGCCAGGGGTTTATCTATCTATTTTATTTATTTTTTTCAAAGAACCAACTTTTTGTTTTGTCAATTTTTTCAATTGTTTCTTTTGTTTCAATTTCATTAATTTCAGCTCTAATTTTAATTATTTCCTGTCTTCTACTGCTTTTGGTGTTGATTTGTTCTTCTTTTTCTAGGGCTTTGAGATTTAGCATTACGTCATTTATTTATTGACTTTTTCTTCTTTTAAGGAATGTACTCAATGCAATAAACTTTCCACTTGGTACTGACTTCATAGTGTCCCAAAGATTTTGATATGTTACATCAGTGTTCTCATTTACCTCTAAGAATTTTTTTATTTCATCCTTAATTTCTTCTACTATTCATTCATCATTCAATTGTGTATTATTTAGTCTCCATTTGTTACAGTAACTTCTACTTTTTATTTTATCATTGATTTCTAATTTCATTCCATTATGGTCTGATAGAATGCAGGGTATTTATTATCTCTGTTTTTTTGTATTTACTAAGAGTTGCTTATGGTCTGTTTAGAAGGAGCCATGTGCTCTGAGAAGAAAATATATTTGCTCATTGATGGATGAAATATTCTATATATGTCTGTTAAGTCTAAATTATTAATTGTATTATTTAGTTCTATAGTTTCCTCATTTAGTTTTTGTTTGAAAAGATCTGTCCAGTAGTGACAGAGGTATGTTAAAGTCACCCAGTATTATTGTATTGTGGTCTATTTGACTCTTGAAATTGAGAAGGATTTGCTTGATGTACATAGATGTTCCATTGTTTGGGGCATAAATATTTATAATTGTTATGTCCTGCTTATATAAACTTCCTTTAAGAAGTATGAAATGTCCTTCTTTCTCTCTTCTGATTAACATTGATTTGAAGTCTAATTTATCTGAAATGAAAATGGAAAACCCTGCTGGTTTATGCAATCCATATGAGTGATAAGGTTTTTTTCCCATCCTTTTACCTTCAGCCTGTGGATGTCTTTGCTATGAGGTGAGTCATTTGAAGACAGCATAGTGTTGGGTCTTGCTTTTTAATCCAATCTGCCAGTCTATGTCTTTTGGTTGATGAGTTTAGGACATTAACATTCAAGGTTAATATTGAGATATGATTTGTATTCCCTGTCATTTTGATTTATTTCTGGTTTTTGATTTCTCTTAGGTTTGGTTGAATTGTCTGTTTAGTGTAGACCCTCCCTTTGCTGGTTTTTACTTTTTTTCCCACTTCATCCTCATGGAATATTTTCTTGAGAATGCTCTGAAGTGTAGGCTTTCTAGTTGTGAATTCTTTTAATTTTTGTTTATCATGGAATGTTTTAATTTCATTTTCAATTCTGAAACTTTAATTTTGCTGGATATAAAATTCTTGATTGGCATCCATTTTCTTTTAGAGCTTGAAATAAAATTATTCCAGGACCCCCTAGCTTTGAGGGTCTGGGATGAGAAATCAGTTTTTTGAAATCCAAATTGGTTTTCCCCTATATGTAATTTGATTTTTTTTCTCTCACAGCCTTTAAGATTTTATCTTTATTCTCTGTGTTAGTCATTCTTATTATAATGTGTCTTGGCGTGAGTCTGCTGTAATTTTGTACATTTTGGTCCTGTAAGCCTCTTGTATTTGATTTTCCATTCCATTCTTTAGGTTGGGGAAATTTTCTGCTATTATATCATTGAAAAGATTGTGCATTCTTTTATTTGTATCTCTGCTCCTTTATCTATTCTGATAACTCTTAAATTTGGTCTTTTCATGTTATCCCATAATTCTTGGATGTTCTGTTCATGGTTTCTTATCATCTTCTCTGCATGGTCAACTCTACTTTCAAGATTACAGGGGCTGGGGATGTGGCTCAAGCAGTAGCGCACTCGCCTGGTATGCGTGCGACCCGGGTTCAATCCTCAGCACCACATACCAACAAAGATGTTGTGTCCGCCGAGAACTGAAAAAAATAAATATTAAAAWWWAAAAAAAGGGCTGGGGATGTGGCTCAAGCGGTAGCGCACTCGCCTGGCATGCGTGCGACCCGGGTTCGATCCTCAGCACCACATACCAACAAAGATGTTGTGTCTGCCGAGAACTAAAAAATAAATATTAAAAATTAAAAAAAAAAAAGATTACATATTTTATCTTCATTGTCTAAGGTTCTGACTTCCAAGTGGTCTAGTCTGTTGGTGATGCTTTCTTTTTTTTTAAATATTTTTCAGTTTTAGATGGACACAATATCTTTATTTTTATTTGTATATGGTGCCGAGAATTGAACCCAGTGCCTCACGCACGCTAGGCAAGCGCGCTACCACTTGAGCCACATCCTCAGCCCTGTTGGTGATGCTTTCTATTGAATTTATATGCTTGGGTTCAAATCTATTGTCTCCACTTTCTAGCTACATGATTTACTAAAATTTATTTACATCTTATTGGGGGGAAAAATGCTATTGAAGATCTGGGCATAATGGTGTTTGCCTGTAGTCCCAGCTACTCTGGAGACTGAGGCAGGAGGATCACTTGAGCCTGGGAGTTCAAGGCCAACCTGGGTAACATAGTGAGACCCTGTCTTAAAAAAAGAAGAAACTGCCATTGATTGTAAGATGCATCCTAGTTTCAGATGGGTTGAACTATGAAAAAAATATGTAATAGAATTGATGAAATACTGGCAAGTTCTGTGCATTAGGATTTTTCCAAATCAATTTTATATTCTGTCACTTCTTACTTTAAATGAGTTTTGTAATGTGACTTAAAGTGTTTCTTGAGTTTCATCAGAATGTTGATTAAACTTTTCTTTGGGTCCAGAGGATTGAACCTTGGGGCTTGTACTTACAAAGCATGTACTCTACTCCTAAGCAACATACCCAGCCTAAATTTCACTTTTATTAGAATATCTTACCTTGTGAAGTAATGCTCATATCTTTTTCTTTTTTTCAGGCTGACACCAACAAAGATCGTATTGACAATGCCAATGTCAGAGCAAAGAAACTCATTGACAGCTAAAGCTACTGCTGTACTTCTCTATCATTTATTTACTTCAGTTCCTCCTCCTAAATCATTACCTTTTCAGAGTTTGATATTTTGGTTCCATACTCTTCTAATCTGGAGATAATGTGGAAAAAGGGCCAGAGACAGCTTGCCTGATTTTTTGATTTTTTTTTTTAAATTCCTGTTTGAGGGTAGACTGTTGCTCATCCTTCCTTCTAGTATTTTATTTCTCAGTTCATATTCTTAGATTGGTTTTCATACATCACACATATTGTTTTCTTCCTTCTCATTTACTTGAGCAATTTCTTTTGTTTTCAAGATTCTGAAGCATTGCCAAAGACAGCCATGAAGAAGGGAGCTATAGAGGTGTTTTTTTGGTTTGGTTTTGGTTTTGTGGTGGGTGACGAATGAGAGATGAGAGGTCATCATTTCAATAAAAGCCACAAACAAGTTGGATAACCACAGTAAAGATCTAGTTGGATTTAGTTTTTAAGTTGCAATTTTTGCCAATTAAGGCTAATGCTTAATTTTGGAGCTTTTATATACAATATTTTTGTCATACATCACTATTTTTGCAACCTCTGCTCCAAAGAGTATAATTAGTTTTCGTTAAAGTGAGCTCAGTTTCTGAACTCTTAGTGATTCATTTATATACAGAGATTTTGTTATTTCATATTGCACATTCAGGAAAACTTTGTATAAATGAGTGGCTTTTTATTTTCATATTATTAATAATATCATGGTCCCATTACAGGCCTATTAATCTCATAAATTTGTCATTAGTCTTTGAAGAAAAGAATATGTAAATACATATGTGTAATATGAGAATTTCTCTCAAAAGCAGGGCTTAAAATTTTTGAGGAAGTTTGATAAAATATATCATGTGAATTCAGATTTACCTCAATGCTAAGAATTATGTTTAGATAGGAAAAAGGAATTTTATTTTGATCTCAGGTAGAAAAATAGTTATGTAGTTATGTAGCTTTATACAGTTATTAAAAGTTAGAATTTATTCTGCCCTACTAAAAGTGGTTTGGAAAATTACATTTGGTTTAATTATTGATGATTACACTGTCATTCTTTTAGCTTTGTGTATTGAACTATGCCCAGAATCAAGTTGATGTAAATCCTGAACAGTTTTGTGAGAATCTAATTGGATTTGTCACCTTTATTTAAAAACTAGCCTCTGCACACTTTGAACCTAGGGATATGGATTGGTTTGACCAATAGCCACTGCTTGATTCTCGTAATTAAACTTTGTAACTAATTAATGGTATTGTTCTTTAAGATAGGTAACATGTTTCTGTGACTGTTATTTTGTGGACAGTAATTTCACCAGCTGCTGTTTAACAAATTAAATAAAGCAAAGGTCCATAAGTCAAGAAGCACACCAATGGAAAGCTGCTGTTAGCTCTTTTCCAATTTCTTTTATTTTTTATTTTTTAGTTGTAGTTGGACACAATGCCTTTATTTATTTTTTTATGTGATGCTGAGGATCAAACCCAGGGCCCCACACATACAAGGCGAGCGCTAGATCTACCACTGTACTATAACCCCAGCCCCTCTTTTCCAATTTCTATTAGAAATATTAACAGAACTTTCCTTTCTGTGATGCATTTAATATAATCATTATTAGTCTCATTCATTTGCACTCACTTTTATCAGTGACTAAACAGATGTTTCTGGGAAAGAACAACCCAATACTGGAAAAGATACAACTAACAGGAATTTTCAAAGGGTGAAGAGGGAGATATTTAAATAAAGCAAGATTCAGTTAGGTCCTCCCTCATAAAAGTGCTCCATGTCAGAAAGAGTAGTTTGCCAGGTGAAAGTGAATGTGTAAAGTAAGGTGTAAAACAGTGGAGATTGTACTATACTAAAGTCCCTTCTTAAAAGCACTAATTTTTTTTTAAAAAAACACTGTTTTGGCTGAAGGAAATAATTTGGAGGATACCACTGTACTGCTCCCACAGTATAATTGGTTTGAAGTGCATGTTAAGGCACCAATTGTCTGGATTTATACTTTAGCTCTTGCTGGCTGTGGTGACTCTAGCCTGTCCCTGTGCCTTAGTTTCTTTTCTGAATATGAGGATTAATGATTCCTACCTCATAAAATTGCAAAGCATAGAGTTTAATGCCTTTAAAGCCCTTATAATAGTGCTTAGTAAATGTAGGAATTTAATGAATGATAGCTGCTATTTTATCTAGAATAGAGCTCTTTTTTGGTCAAGGATCCATTTGTGAATTTGATGACAACACAGCCCCTTTCCCCAGAGAACTAAACACATGAATGTGAATCATGCATATCTTGAAAACCTACTCATAGATCCCAGGTTACAAACTTTTCTACAGCTTCTGCTACTGAGAAAGGTGAGAAGTAAGAGTCCTAGAAATTAGGCCCATAATGAACTAGAAATGGAAGCTATTAACTTAAAGGCTTTTTTGGTTTTCTCCAATAACACCATCTGTGAACATTTTTTCCATTACTTTTTAAAAAAAAATATTTATTTTTTAGGTGTAGATGGACACAACACAATGCCTTTATTTTTATGTGGTCCTGAGGATCGAACCCAGGTCCTGCCCGAGCTAGGCAAGCACTCTACCGCTGAGCCACAATCGCAGCCCCATCCATTACTTTTTAAAATATTTTTATTTGTTGTTGATGGATCTTTATTTTATATATTTATTTATATGTAGTGCTGAGATTCGAACCCAGTGCCTGACACATGCTAGGCAACACACTGAGCCAGAACCCCAGCCCTTTTCCATTACTTTTGAAAGGTTAACACAAGTTCTAGAATGTGATCACCTGGGTCCAAATTTTGATTAAATCATTTACTAGTTATGTAACCCTAAACATGATATTAGTTTATAACTATATAGGAAAAAGAAAAAAACAGTATCTCCTACTGAATTTAATTTTTTTTAACAGTAATCTCCTTCAAGTTTCCAGTCTTGTAATGACAGAGATTTTTATCCTTTACCACTGGGCCTATTTTTTTTTCTTTATTTAGTTTTAATTTATCCTTTGTTTCCATACTTCAACTCTATTATATCTTTCTTTCTATGTCACATATGGATTATGAGTCTCCTGTTAAACTCTGTATCTCAGACATGACAACTCATGTGTACTTAGACTTAACTTTTTAAACGGCTGTTTTCCCACAGGGTTCAGTGGCACATGCCTGTAATCCAGCTACTTGGAAGGCTTACAGGAAGGTTATAAGTTAAGGGCCATCTTTAGCAATTTAGTGAGACCCTCAGCAACTTAGGAAGATTCCATCTCAAAAAAAAAAAAAAAATAGGACTGTTGATATAACTCAGTGGTAGAGTATCTCTGGGTTCAATCCTCAGTGCTTTAAAAAACAAACAAAAATTTTTAAAAAAGCTGTTTGCTTTAGGTTACTCTTACTAAAATTCTAGATTATCCCAGTTCATATCAGATACATACACACACACACACACACACATATGATATGCATACATATCTTGAGATATATGCATATATATATATTATATATATCTGATAATCTCTAATGCCTTATCCCCTAGTTATTTTTTATCTTTTTAATGGCAGCTTTAAGCCCATTCCTAAACAACTTAAATTTTAGTTTTATGCCTTATAGATGAGATAAATGGTATGATTTATTGATTACTTACTTTGTCATAGGCACTATACCAAGTGCTTTTATGTATCTTATAACATACTTGAGAATGTTATATTTACTCTCATATTTACAGATGAGAGTAAATTGCTCAAAAAGCTAATAAATGGCAGCCTTTTATGGATTCAAACCTAAATCGTTCTGACTCCAAGGCCCATGATCTTATACAATATACCACTGACTTCCAAGCCAAGCTCTAAAAAATATAAGTGACTTAGGGCTGGTAGCCAAGATAGAATTAGGATCTCTGACTATAAATCAGACTACTCTTAGTTCATATTTTAGTCTAAGTCTTGCTCACTATTAACTCTGGGTATATTACTTTATAAATTCTCTGACCTCAAGTGGTTTAGTCTAGCAAGAAAGATAAATATAGAATATGAGAAGTGCTATAGTAGCAGATGGGAGGAACAGTTAATTAGATTTAGAGAAGAGACTTAGACATAGGGAAGAAGGAGCATAATAGGGGCATTCCTGACAGAGCAAACAACATAAAGGCAGAGGAGAGAATGCAGCATTGGTTTAAGGAGCAGAATGATCTGATATGATTGGATAGGCAAATCAGAGTAAAGAGAGGGTATCTGAAAATAAAGTATCCAAATTGTGAAGGGTGGTAGTCACTGATTCTTACAGGGGTGGAGAATGCTAATCATTAAATGGATACATTTAACTTGTTAAAAATTTAAAGTATTTAGAGAAAAGTTAATCATTCAATGGATCAGGTAAGAATAATAAACATTAAGGTTTAGGGGTTTGTTGGTGGGGAACAGCTCCTCAATTGATTATCACTGATAAATTGGCAACCCCTATCTGAGAAGGAGAAAATAACATGGGAAATAGAGAATACCCAGACAAAATTTAAAGTCAGAGACATTGCCCCATAAATAGTAAGCTCTTATGATTTCTTGCTTTTAAGCAAGGTTTAACCATTACTGAGAACTGCCAATATATCCATGGCTAAGATAAAACTTGAGAAAATGACCAAAATAGTAGTTGTTCAAATGTTCATGTCATTGACAATCTGAAATCTGCCACTTTTATACTTTCAGGTTCTGTTAATAAGCATGGTTCTAGTACCCCAATACGTTAATTATCAGTCACATAAAGGCATTTCATTACTTAAGAAACCTGAACAAGAACATGAAACATTTCTCCCTAATTTACTTTCAGAGAACAAATGACCCTTTACATTTTAAAGTTGTCTTCTTTCTTTAAAGAATTAAACTTCCTTCCAGTCAAAGATCATTAAAAAATTCTTTATTTAGTATATTCTCTCATTCAGAGAATAAACTTGATAAACATAACTTGTTTTAAAATATTGTAGCAATGGTTTCTTAAAGGTAATTTGATTAGTAGAGTTATAGATACAAAAAGGGGAAAGATTACAGAAATAAGACATAATTTTTAACAAAGCTTCAGGAAAATCTTTTTTTTTTTTAAATTTATTTTCTAGTTTTCAACGGACACAACATCTTTGTTTGTATGTGGTGCTGAGGATCGAACCCTGGCTGCACGCATGCCGGGCGAGCGCGCTACCGCTTGAGCCACATCCCCAGCCCAGAAAATCTTGATTATTGAAATCATTTTTAAATCATATAAGTGTTGCATATACATTTTTAGCTCTTCAGAGCCCTCGACCAATAAGGCACATGCAATAGTAAAGGATTTGCTACTGCAGCCTTGGGGAACCTCTCTTAGTGTTGTGTAGGTGCTTCTCTGACAAAGCACACTTGAACCAAGACAAACAGTCATATTTATGTGCATCCTAAATTCTAAGTATAGACAACTAAACTGATGGACTAGAATAAAACAATAAATCCTTAGAGTAACCATAGCAACTCACAAATATGAATTTGATAAAAATATAAAGTGTTAACACCTAGGTGGAATGACAACTGACTTTTATGGAAGTTCACACTTTGAAACTAAACATAATCTCAAGCTGTGGTGTGGAGCTATTCTGTTACCAGGCAGCACCTCCTCACCATATAAATAGCAACTAGCTACTGGTTTCTTAAAGCCAAACTAATGATGGTTTTGAAGATAAGCATTGTCCATTGCCCTATCCATGAGTCAAAATGGAGGACTCTTCCTGTCTCCTGACTCTTTTTTTTTTTTTTAGCTTGTTTGAGATAGCCCTGAAAAGGAAAAGGGATCATTGAGCGAAACAATCTCCTGGAGTGTCATCTCCTTACTGCAGATATCCTTGACAACAACAAGAGTCTTAGCTTCAGCCAGATTCCAACAGAGTTTCCATATCATTGTCCTGTAAGGTTCCCATGGTCCTGGAGAACATCATGCAAACTTCTTCTTAGTGGCTGTGAACCTCTCCATGTACTAAAAAATCATGAAAGAATAATATATATATATGTGGTATTTTGGCATGAGTAAATATAAGTTTATCTGTTACTTAGGTTTCTACATGCTCCCCCCACCCTGCAATTTTATCTTTTATTGGATTTGGTCCATTTCCTATTAAACCTACCTAATAATTTAAACACATGGTTTAAGTTCTAATTTTTTTGTATTCTAATATGAAACATATCAGAAGATGATTTGCAATAAGCTGTCTATAAAGAAAGCCATTTTGGCACAATATCATTTTGCCAATTCTTAGAACCACCCTCAAAATTGGGAAGAACAAAATATTCATGTGGGTTACCTCAGCATTCTCTGGGTTAGTAACTAGAAATGCAGAAGTATGCTACCAAACAAATAAATACCTTATCATAGCCTTCTAGTTCTCGAAGTTTCTTTATTTCAAAAAGATTGCCTTCCACAGCAAGCAGACAGATCTGGGAATCACTGAGGATGCTCTGTGGAAGCATGCTGAGCTCAAGACAGTTCTCTTCCAGGCGAAGAACTTTAAGGCGAGGACAGCAAGATATCTTTACTGAGATCTGAGATATCTATTGAATAACAAAACAATAATAGGAAAAAGCACAAGCCCTCTAATGGTTACTTTTTACTACATTACAAAAACAAAAACCTTGATATTTGTCCCAGTTCTTTTACCACCTCCATTTTCTCACTACCTACTCACTACAGAAGCCTCAGTTACAGACCTTCTGTTACTAGTCCTCACTTTAAAAATAAATGTTTTTTTGAAGTTACCAGTGGCTTTTTGAGAATTAACACAAATTTAAACAAAAAAGTTACCTGTAATCTGCCAACCTTTTATGTGTAAAAATATACCAACTACTTTATTGCCAAAGCCAAGAATCCATCATTTTCTATTGCATTTGACTGTTCCACTTTTTGTACATAAGTACTTGGTTTTTCTTCTTATCTTTTGAATTATTCCTGATTATTGGTTTCCCTTTTTCCTTATGGACATTTTCAAGCAGCAGTCCCTAATACTTTATATTTCATATTCTCTTTCAACTTTTTCCTATGAAGTTCATTGTGTGTGTGTGTGTGTGTGTGTGTGTGTGTGTGTGTGTTTGCTGGGGATTGAACCCAGGAACTTGTGCATGTGAGGCAGGCACTCTACCAACTGAGCTATATCGCCAGCCCAGGAAGTTCATTTTTGAATTACCCTCACTTAATAATCTAAATGTTTTTTTCTACATACATATTTACTCATCTCTATTCTACTTTTGTTTCCCACTTTCAGGAAAGCATTTCTTGTTAAATGATTCACCATAATCAACCCAGCATGTCCATTCAATTGTACCACTATTCCTTTAGGCCCTCAAACTCAATACCAAACAATTGTCTTTGACTCATTCACTGTTTAGCTCATCAAATACTCAAATTCATCAAATTTCATAGGGCTGGGCACATTCTAGGCAAGTGCTCTACCTCTGAGCTACATCTAGCCCAAGTCACCAAATTCTATTGACTACTTGGTATTTCAGGCCATCACCTGGATCATTGAGTGAAACAACCTCCTTAGATCTCATCCCATCCTTCATAAATCAGAAACACGAAGGATAAAGGCCCAGTGATATCGTTAAGCAAGCTCCCCAGGTTACTCTATGTATACTAAAGTCAGTGGGTCTAAGGCATTATCTAAGGCATCAGCAGAGGTCAATGTGTAGCAAGTCCTCAACTAATACCTATAGTTTAACTGATATTTTCCCCATAATCTCAAGGAAAAGGTGAGATAATCTCAAAGAACTTAATTCATGAGTTGCTTAGCCCCTCACTTTTGCTGAGGCTGGCTTTGAACTCAAGATCCTCCTGCCTCACCCTTCAGAGCCTCTGGGATTACAGGTGTGTGCCACTGAGCCTGGCACCATCTCTCTTTTAAAAAAAAAATTTTTTTTTGAGATAAGGTCTTGCTAAGTTGCCAAAATGGTCACAAACTTGTGATCCTCCTGCCTCAGGCTCCTGAGTTGCTGGGATTACAGGCATATGCCATCACATCTGGCTAGTAGTTTGACTTTTGAAATTACCCTTATACCCTGTTACCTGCTACGCACTCCCCAAAAAGCCTAGACAGCAAACACACCCAGTGTTAGTCCCCACTAATTCCATGGGACTTTGGGCTTTGAAACTGGTTTGGTTTATAGTATATATCTCTCATCTAGCCTTTGATAGTCAACTCCATGATCACAGTTTTGTGAATAATTTATAAGGAGACCATAAACCCAAACATATGCTAGAAAAAAACCCTAAAGTTCTAGACCTGGTTCTGGTTGAGATTGAGTTCGATGACCTGCAGCTCCCCCACGATGTCAGGTATACTCCGAATCTGGTTCTTAGAGAGATCTACCACATCTAGGTGCCGTAGGCTACAAAGTTGGGGTGGTAGTGCTCCCAGCTGGTTCCCAGAAAGGCTCAAGGTCTTGAGGGCAGAAAGCTGCCCAAAGGTAGATGGCAGCTCTCTCAGGTGATTGTTGTTTAGGCTTAGAGTGTCTAGTTTTTTCAGATTGCATAATTCATCAGGTAGAATATCTAGCAAAGAAAAAAATTAAAAACCTGAATCTGATAGAGCTGAAAAAACACGTTTGATAAAGATTACAAAGACTCTATATCAGTCTGCTTCACTTCTTGTTAAAACACAGAATTCCCACATGCACCACTTTTAGGTATTAAATTTTACCAACATGGTCTTCAGAAGACGAGTGTGCCATCAATATGCAGGAGCATTCCTGAATACAATGGGCTCCTTTTACAAGGGGGATGAGGCACAATTCGACAACAATTTTGTGAGTTTTTGGAACAGCCTCCCTTTCCCATTCCATTTTCCCTTTTAAATGAACTATTTTGCTTACATCACATCCCAAAGATCAATCATCATATAACCCAAGAAACCTTGCAGTGGAGGTAGAAAGTTTCAAGGACTCTTGTCATTCTGCATCGTGAGCCCTCTGAACAGTTTCATAATGACGACAAAAAATCATCTTGTAAGAGATATCCACCCTTTTTAACTTCTGACCACTAATAAAAACTTCCCAGGAGCAAAAGCCGTACTCAGTTTGTTGTTGTTCAGGGAGAGGCTCTTCAGCAAAGTGAACTTCCCTATCAGCAAAGGCGGTAGGCTCTCTATCTTGTTGTTGGACAAGTCTATGGTCCTAAGGTTGCTTGTCAGTTTCTGCAAATCTGAGGGGAACTGGAGAAAGGGTTCATAGCGTTAAGAAGCCCTCACGGATTAGCTTCTCCGCCCCCGCCGTCCCTCTGCCTGTAAATTCCCTGGTTTTATCTCTCCCAATCTCACCTCGGTCAGTCCACGGTCCTTAAGCTGAAAGACACCAGTTTTCTGCGCCGTTTCTACGTGAGCGCGGAGGGCACTATTTCCCATCCTATCACCAAGACTCTGGTTCCTGCGGGAAGGAAGCGCAGCGATCAGCGACCAACCTAGGCACACAGTCACCCCGTCAACCTCCTTTTGGGTCTCCGGCCCCAGCTGTCACCTCCAGCCGATCCCAGGATTCTGGGAGCCAGCCTGAGTGGCAAGGAAGAAAGAAAAACAGACCACCAAGTTCTGCTGCTTTTGCAACTGTGCTAAGGCCAGGCGCTCCTGAGAGCCTCTGGAGAACTAGGGACCCCGGGACTCGCTTCCTACAGCTCAGTAGGAAGAAGTGCCGGCTGGTGGAGACCAGAGACCCACGCTAGCCTGGGATGCGCTCCCAGGGCTTCCGCCCGGGCGGGAACGCCCTGTGATGTCATCGACCCGCGCCAAGCGTTCGTCGCGCTTTCGGCTCACTCCTGGCGCCAAGCGGGGAGGTGTGTTAGAATCATGGCTGCTGCCAACGCTTGGGACCCGGCTTCCGCGCCTAACTCCGCAGGGCTACTGTTGGGCCACTTCGTGGCTTCAGGGTTGGTCACTCAGGTGAGTGGGGCAACAATGGCGTCATCAAAGCGGGGGTGGCGACAGAATTTGGCTGTGAGGTGGTTGATGGTACTTATTGCGGGAGTGTTGAGGGTGCTGATTGGGGTGTATACCAGGATAAAGACTGATTGATAGAGTCTCTTCTAGTTTGCAGCCGTGGCTTTAGTGCTGTGGATTCTTCGTAAACAGGGATCTGAGTAGGTGGTGTTTCGAGTAGACTGTTTGCCGGCAAATTATGTCAAGCCAGATTACGGCGGATAGAACAGTGTTGTCCTGTTTATTTTCATCCAGTGATACCGCCTCTAGAGTGTAGTATGCGGTGGGGTTGAGAAATAATGGTAGATAGTTAAAAGTAAACATTCCCAATATGTATATTTACAGGAAGTATTGAAGCAAATTTGGGGCAGGAGAGGTTGAGTACAGAGGAGCCCCAAGGGAAGTTCATTTGGGGTATCTTTTAAGGAAAAAAAAAAACAGCATTTGGTGGAAAAGACATAAAGGATTTTGGAACATGAGTGGAGGAAGGGATTAATTTTGAGGAAAGAAGGGAGATTAGCCCAAGGAATGATGATTTTAGGTTGGGCAAGAAGAGCATGTTCACAGCCCCGGGAGAAGGAGCCAGTAGAGGAAGAAATTGAACATGTGAGGGAATAATAGAATACAGGTGACAGAGGAGAATGAGACAAGTGGGAACAAGTGAATTGAAATTGAGGGAAGGAAACTTTGATATGAAAAGGAATTTCACTAAAAAGAACTTTGAGCCAGGAGCGATGGCGCACTCCTGTAATCCTTTTGGTTTGGAAGGCTGAAGCTTTGAACCTCAGCAAAAATGAAGTGTTAAGCAACTCAATGAAGACTCTGTCTCTAAATAAAATAGAAACTAGGGCTGGGGGTGTGGCTCAGTGGTCGAGTGCCCCTGAATTTAATCCCTGATACAAAAGAGGTGGGGGGAGAGAAAAGCTAAAAAGATAAATGCATCTGCAGAAAAATAGCAATAAATACAAACATGATGGAAGATATATGGAAAATCTCTCTTTTTCTCTTTTTAAATTCCATACTGGGTCTTGATTAGAGACCTGGGTCTTGAACCCAGGAGCAATCTACCTTTCAGCTACATCACCAGTCCTTTTTCAAAATTTTATTTTGAGTCAGGATCAAGTTTCCCTGACTGGCTTCAAATTTGCTACTCTCCTGCCTTAGCCTTCTGAGAATCTGAGATTGCAGGTCTGTGACACTATGCCCAGTTAAAATATACAACTTTTTGTATTTAAAAGATTTGTTAGAGGTTTCTGATACCTTAAGGTGATTTGTTTGGTTGGTTGTTTTTGAAGTGCTGGGAATCAAACCCAGGGCCTTTTTGTTGCTAGTAAGCATTCTATCACTGAACTACATCCCCAGGATCTAATTCTTTCAAATTAAGAAACTAAATTCTAAAAGACCAAGAAATTTGTCTGAGGTCATTCAACCAAGAAGGCAGAATTAGATCCCAGAGCTCTCCCTTTTCTGACACATTATATCATTTTTTAAGATAAACTGTGATAAAATATTGTGATACTTCTTGAATAAAATTTTTCCCCCTTCTGTACAGGGATTGAACCCAGGGGTGCTATACCACTGTGTTTTATCCTCAGCCTTTTAAATTTTTTCTTCTGAGACACAATCACGCTAAGTTGTCTATGCTGGCCTCCAATTTACAATATTTTTCTCTCATCCTCCCGAGTGTCAGGGATTATAGGTGTATGCCACTGCACTCAGCTTCTTGAAAGATTTTAAAACTTATGTTAAGACCCAGTGTTGTGTTTGAGGGTTTTAGGTAGTGTGAGTACACCAGCTGTTGCAGGGACCAACACAGCACTCCACAGTTTAACCCTTTCTTGCTTCTCTCCATCTTTTCTTCCTACCAAGTTTGCCTACTATTCTCACTTGATTTGTCCAGTTCTTCTGTCACAAAATACTTTGGTAAACTCATAAGACATTTGAAACTTAATATCCTTCTAGAAAATGTGGGATAGGAGATATGACTATCTATACCGAGAGAGTAAGTTGCTATTGAGAGAATTTTTAAAAATATTTTTTTAGTTGGATATGGACACAATACCTTTATTTTATTCATTTATTTTTATGTGGTGCTGAGGATCGAACTCTACCACTGAGCCACAACTCCAGCCCTGAAAAGTTATTTTTATTAGAACGATTTAAACTGATTTGTCATATGATCTCTTTAAACAGTCCATCCTGGGGCCTGGGGTAATGGCTCAGTGATAGAGTACTTGCTTAGCATGTGTGATCCTCAGCACCACATAAAAATAAATAAATAAATAAATAAGTAAATGGTTAAAAACAAAATAGTCCACTCATGCATCATTCATGTTCATTAAAAATTAAGAGTGATGGGCTGTGGTATATGTAGCCCGGTGGCAGAGAGCTTGCCTAGTATTCCTGAGGCCCTTGATTCAGTCCCTAGCACCACACACAAATTCACACACACATATTAAGAGTGGTTCCTAAAATTTCTTGTAGAAAACATGTTTGAACTTTGTTCTGTTTTGATCTATCCAAGAAGAATGATTTGATGAAAGAAAGGTATGGTCAACTTTTATAGCATACTGAGATATTTCCTTTACTTTATGCCCCTAGGGCTGCTTTACATTCTAGATATTTTCCCAGCAATCTTTAGTTAGTAAGAATCTTGATCAAGGCTTCTTCTGTTGGCAGTATAGGAGGATCTGGTCCTAAGAACTCTTTATAATCTACCACTAATCTCTTTTCTCAATCTGTGTCCTGCCTTTCTCTGTATCCCAACCCCTATTTGATACCTCTGCTCTTAACTTTTTACTACACTGGCTCCCTTTTAATGCTCCTCAACTGAAATACAGCATGAAGAGGAAAAAAAAAAAAAGAAAGGTTAAAAAAAAAAGAAAAGAAAGGTAACCCCTAGGTTACAAGTTTATACATACAAATGTACACAATATTTGAACCCAGGGATTCACACATGCTAAGCATACACTCTACCACTGAGCTACACCCTCAGCCCCAAAGATCTTAAATTAAGCATAAAGTTCCCATATTTCAGCTTCCTGTGCCTAGTAACAAAGTAAACAATAACACTGTAAATATACTCCTTTTTCTTAGGATCATTTCATTTTCAGGGTCCTTTTGTCCCAGTGACGTGTAAAGTATGTAATATAGCAATAACTAAAGGCACAGACTTCTGTGTAGTTGTGATTTTTATTTTCTTGGAATGTTTTGAATTTGAATTTGACTGCTCTTTCTTTTTTTTACCCACTTTTTTTTTTAAGAGAGAGAGAATTTTTTAATATTTATTTTCTAGTTTTTGGTGGATACGTCTTTATTTTATTTGTATGTGGTGCTGAGCATTGAACCCAGTGCCCCGCGCATGCCAGGCGAGCGCACTACTGCTTAAGCCACATCCCCAGCCCTGTTACCCACTTAAACATTCTTATTTTCACTCTGGTTTCTCTTGCATCTTATTGGCTAAGCATCATTACCCTGTTGTTGAATCAAAGAGTTTACTAGTTTGCCAAATGTGCAACTAAGCTTAGTGTATACACATGGAATGTTGGAGATACGCCAGAGAGTTAGTAGGTTACATGATATAGCATGTTTTACTTTCATTTACTTTCTTCTACCTAAGAGAGAGTGTAAAGAAAAAGTAAGAGATAGTGAATTAGACGTTCTCATTTCTGTTCTGACACACATTGGCAATGTGAAGTTGGACTAATACTTAATCTCCCTGGTCCTCAATTTTGCCACCAATAGAATACCTGTGTTATCTGCCTCAGTTAACGGCATAACTATCTTTACAGCCACCTGAAACAGAATCACTGGAGTCAAACAATGATTAACTCTTTAATCATTGACTTTAATTCTCATTTACCATATCAACTAGGACTTGTCAGTTTCATTTTGATAGGTACTCTTATCTCTGTCTTCCCTTTCCTTTTAAACAGCTACAGACCTAGCTCACATTCTCATGATCTTACCTGGAATACTATAGCAGCTACCTGTTTAAATATTCAACCTTATGCCCATCTCTCTACTTGTATTTTTGTTTTATATTGATGGCCAACTGTAGGGATTTCCTTTTTCCCTCTCTTTCTGTGTAAAATATACATAGCTTTTATTAATTTAACTTTTTTCTTAAATATTTTTATTAGTTCCTTATAGTTATGCATAATAGTGTACATATAACTTTTGACATAATTTTACATGAATGGAATTTAATTTGCTCTGTTTCAGTCTCCAGTCCTTCTTCTTTCCCTCCTCTCTTCCTCCCTTTATTTCCCTTTCTCTACTTGACTGGTCTTCCTTCTATTTATTTTTTTAATTGATGCTTTATACGTATACATAAAGGTAGAATTCACTGTGATATATTTGTATGTGTACAAAAGTGAAATTCATTCTTTATTTCCTCCCTTTTACCATCCCTCCTCTCTCTCCTCAATCTCCTTCTTCTATTCCACTGATCTTCCTTTTATTTTCATGAGGTCTGATGCTTTTCATGGTTTCCTTTGCTGTGCAGAGGCTTTTTAATTTGTGCCATCCCACTTATTGATTCTTGGTTATATTTCTTGAGTTTTAGGGTTCTTGTTAAGGAAGTTGGTGCCTGTGCCACTATGTTGGATTTTTGACCTTTTATTTTCTTCTAGTAGTTGCAAAATTTCTGATCTGATTCCTAAGTCTGATCCACTTTCATTTGACTCTTATGCAGGATCTAGTTTCATTCTTCTACATATGGGTATTACTGGGGATTGAACCCAGATCCTCGCACATGCTAAACAAGCCAAGCATTCTACGCCCCCAGCCCTTTGAACCTTTTTTTTTTTTGTGTGTGTGTGTGTGTAGTCTGGGGATTGAACCCAGGGGCATACATCTGAAGCCTTTTTTTATTTAAAAAAACTGCCCAGACTGGCCTTGAATTTTTGATCCTCCTGCCTTGATCTCTTGAGTAGCTGGGATTATAGGTAGGTAACACCATGCCTGACTATTTTAACCATCTTAAAATGTATAATCCAGTGGCATTAAGTACTTTCACAATATTGTGCAATTATTTTCAAAACATTTATTACTCTCTAAGGGAAACTATATTCATTGAACAGTTACTTTCCATTCTTTCCTTCCTCTGACCTTTGGCTTTCAGTTTTCTTTTTCATAGTACCCACTGTTAAATTTCTAAAATATATATTTTATATAAGACCATGTTACTGCTTCACCAGAATATGTTCAGTTGTTCCCATTATCTGCATTATGATCATTTGGCATAACCCTCAATGTTTTCTATGATCATATAGGAAACTATGTTTCTAGCTTCATTCTTGCCTTACATGTATATTAATACCAAATGACAGTTGTTGAGCATTTATGTTTCATTCTTTGTATCTAAAATACCTTTTTTTCCCACCTCCATCATGAGCCTTTTTTAGAGGGAGGGTGGTACTGGGATTGAACCCAGGGATGCTTCATCACTGAGCTATATCCCCAGTCATTTTTATTTTTTATTTTATTTTTTTTATTGTGAGACAGGGTCTTGCTAAGTTGTATTATATTGCTGAGCTGTCCTCAAACTTGGGATCTTCCTGCTTCAGCTTTCTGAGTCACTGGGATTAAAGAGATATGCCATTGAGCCTGGCATTATGACCCTCTTGAAGGCAAACTGCTTGTTTGATTCATCTTTGTATCATCCATTGTCTACCTTAATAAGTGTTTCTTAAATTGATTATCCAATTTTTCCTATAAAGGGCCAAAGAGTAAGTATTTGAGACTTTATAGGCCATATGGTTACAGCTATTCACTAGGCAGTTTTAGTTTAAAAATAGCCAGAGGTAATATATATGTGAATGAGAGAATTTGTGTTCCAATAAAATTTTATTTCTGAACCCTTAAATTGACATGTCATATAATTTTCTTGTGTTATAGAATATCATTTTTTTCTCTGCTGCCCGCCCTCTGCAATTTGAAAATATAAAAACCATTCTTAGTTCAAGAGCTGTAAAAAAAAATAGGCAATGGTATTGCATTTAGTTTCCTAGTCCCTGGCCATTTATAACTTCTAAAATTCTTTCCTCTGTTTCTTTTTCCCCACCATGTTTTTTTTTTCTTTTTGGATATGTAGTCTTATCATGTTACCCAGGCTAGGTCTCAAACTTGTGATCCTCCTGTTTAAGTCTCTTTAGTAGCTGGAATTATAGGCATGTACCATTGTGCCTGGCCTCTGTGCTAACAGTCTACAAAAGAAGAAAATATAGAAAATTATGGAGGAAGTTGGGGGGTGAAAAAAATAACATCTATACTCTGAGATAACCTGCACTTAAGAGGACAGTGTAATGGAATTACAGAATGAAAAGATAAAAAAGGAGTAGTCCTTATAGAAAAATCATTATACTGGGACATAAATATTCCTTTATGTAAGAGAATACATGTGAACAGAGACAACATGCATGACGGGTATGCAGTTGATGTCATTAGATGAATCATAAATTATTCCATGTGGCAGGGTTTTTGATTTTCAATCCAGAAGGTCAGAGAGACTAGGCTTGGTTCATTTGGATGGGCAGAGATGAGTTTCCAAAAACCTCAGCTTATCTTCTAATAAGTTATTAGTAATGTAAATCTATTGTATATGGTACCTTAGGAAATAGTACAATACAAAATGATTGTACTATTTCATTTTTTAAATATTTGTGCAAGAGATTTATAACAATGAAGTTTCTAAAAACAGGAAATACACATTACTACTCTTTTTTCTCTACCTTTTGTTTAGGGACTGTGTTGGACATAATATGAATTTTCAGTCCCATGGGCATGCTCTTCCATGTATACAGAAACTTTTTGTGACATACTACTGTTTTCCTGTTCATTTACCAATAGGAGATGTTAAATATATCTAAGAGAACAGCTCCTTGCTTTGAGAAATTCTCCAGACTACAACAGATCACAAATATTCAAGCTGAAATCTATCAGGTAAATTATTATTTTTCTTTTTTTAATTATTACTTTTCTACTTATACAGAAAAAAAGAAAAATTGTAGTTCAGTGATAATGCAAGTGCTTAGCATGTGTGAGTTCCTAGGTTCAATCCCTAGCACACACACCTCCAACCAAAAAAAAAAAACACAACCTTACAACCTTAATTGATTCAAATAGCAATTCTCTTGCACTTAGAACAAGTATCTAGCACATAGTTGGGTAAAGGTTTATTGTAGTAATTAATAGCAATAGTAAAAAAAAGTAGTAGTAGTAACAGTTAAAGTAAATATAACAGCAGGAGGGCAAGAACACCAAAATGAAAAGCTTTAGTAAATTACCTGCACTTTTATTTTATTTTTTATTTATTTATTTTTTTATTGTTGGTCGTTCAAAACATTACATAGTTCCTCATACATCATATTTCACAGTTTGATTCAAATGAGTTATGAACTCCCAATTTTACCTGCACTTTTATATACACACATCATCCTCCCATCTCATTTAAGGAATATACACCTTGTAGCATGTTTCTGAGCTAAAGATTGTCCATTCTTAGCTATTTTTGATTCTTTAACTTCAGGATACTTTCTGAATAAGCTAATGTTACTTTTATTCCTAATGTAGAAAAGCCTGGAAATTGAACTTCTGAAACTAGAAAAAGATGCAGCAGATGTTGTTCATCCTTTCTATTTGTGTAAGTGGTTTGTTTAAGTGGGTAATCATTGGAATTTAAACTTTTTCTTGGATTATAGTAAATAAACACCAGGCAGCAAAATTGTGATGTGCCAGTTTTTCCAGCCCCACTGCTAACAAAGTCTTCTATTTTTGTGCTTAATTACAAGTCCTGTAGACTTGACTAGTGCAAATAGCATTGGAAGGAACTAGGTTGGCTCCTTTATTCGTTTTTTTGTTAGTATATTTTGTTAATGAGGCTGAGAGTAATGTATAAAGAAAAGAGGTTTATTTAGTTCATAGTGCAGAGGCTCAAGGGTGGCATTGGCTTGATTCTGGTTAGGACCTCATGGTGAATAGCATCACAATGGCAGAGCACTTGGCAAGAGGGAGAGATCACATGGTGAGATAGGAAGCCAGAGAGTGATTCAGAGGTCAGTCTTGCTCTAATACTTCCAAGGGAACCACCAGTAATTACTTAAAGTGACATGATAACTGAAGCACTGAATGAATGGATTGAATATTTGATCAGAAAATTTTTTTTGATATAAAGGACATTATCAGAACACTTGGTAAAGTTTAAATATGGACTATATTTAATATTGGTAACATTGTATCAATGTTAACTTCTCCAAAAAAACTCTTAATTTATTAATGTACTATAAGTTAGGTGTATGTTGTTGTGCATGGGAAACACATCTTTTTAAGGGTAAAAGATCATGCTGTCTGCAATTTATTCTCAATTGAGGCCTTGAGGTGAGTGTGTGGAGATAGAAAAAGGATAAAAAAGAAAATATAACTAAATATAGTATCTAGGTGATATGTATATAGGAGTTTACTGAACTTTTTTTTTAATTGGTTGTTCAAAACATTACAAAGCTCATGATATATCATCTTTCATACATTTGACTCAATTGGGTTATGAACTCCCATTTTTACCCCAAATACAAATTGCAGTATCACATCGGTTACACACTCACGTTTTTACATAATGGCATATTAGTGACTGTTGTATTC